AGGAGATTTTAAGAATTAAAAACCGCCAAAAGGTAAAAAATTTTTTTTTTCCTTCTTTTCCTAACACAATAAATAATAAGGCTTATGAAGTGGGAAGGGGAATTTTAAGGTTATTATAATTTTAAACTCTGGTGGTCACTGGCTCTTTTAATCTCTTTTCTTTATTTTAAAATTTTTTGGTTTTCTTTCTCCGCCTCTCTCTTTTTCTCTTTCCTTTCTCTCTCTTTTCTGTCTCTTTTATCTTTTTTCTCTCTTCTCTAATTGTCTTGCGTCCTGGTCCTATCTATCACTCTGCCCCTTTGTCCTTCTCTCTCTCTCTCTCTCTCTCTCTCTCTCTCTCTCCTCTCTCTTCTTTCTTCCTTTCTATCTCTCTCTCTCTCTCTCTCTCTCTCTCTCTCCTCTCTTCTCTTCCCCCCCACCTTTCTTTCCCTCTCTTTCATTCTACTCACCTACCTAAGCCTCTCCTTACTTAGGAATGTTTACTTTTATCAATTGTGTTGTGATTAGGCGAACGATCAAGTTATTATGATATCGCACGAAGGTTACAAAATGCCTATTATCGTCAGGAGGCGAATATGTTCTTAGATAAAGTCGATTTAGATTTCCTGTCAAAGGATACAAAAAAAAAAAAAAACGGATTTGTGTGGGTTTAGTTAGCATGGGTTGGGTTAGGTGAAGTTAGGGGGGAATTGGGTTGTGTGAGGTGGCATCGGGAAGCATAGGTAAGTTGGATGAATGAGTTAGTGTTTAGGTGATGGTAGAAAGATGTTAGAAAGTACTGGTTGTTTCAGATGATGGTAGAAAGATTTGGCTGTGTTAGGTGAAGATAGAAAGGGTTTTAGAGTTAGGTGAAGTTGGAAAGATCTGGTTGTGTCGGGTGAAGATAGAAAGATTTTGTTGTTAGGTGAAGTTAAGTAGATTTTGTTGCTATGTGAAGTTAGATCGTTTGGTTGTTAGGTTAGAAGTTGGCAAGTTGTGTCAAGTGAAGTTAGAAAGATCTGGTTGTGCCAGGTTTGAAAGTTTGAAGTTGTCAAGTGAATTAGAAAAATTTGGTTTGTGCCAAGTGAAGTTAAAAAGAGATTTGTTGTCAGGTGAAGTTAGAAAGATCTGATTGTGTCACTCGAAGTTAGAATGGTTTTCTTGTCAGGTGAAGTTAGAATAAAAATATATATTGTCAGGTAAAGTTAGACAGATAACGTTACGTTTGGTTAGCTTATTTAGGGTAAGAAAGATAGATCTGGATAGGTTAGGCCTCGACAAGGTTAGCGGAAGGTAAGTAGTGAAGCTAAACTAAGACAAAAAGGTGGTTTTAGCTGGGTCAAGTTAGGTCAGTCAGCCCCGGACAGGTCATGTTACACCGAGTTGGGACCGAATCAACTTAGGTAAGGTTAGGTAAAACCACAAAAAAATACAAATGAAGATAATAAAAAATCTATCTCGGAACTTCTACAGGCTGGGAAAGGGGGGAGTGTGTTATGTGGGGGGGGGGATGGGGGCGCTTAGAAAAAGAGAAAGAAAACCCCCAAAAAAACCCTGAAGAGAGAAAAATAATAAGCAAATATCCAAAAAAAAGAAAAAAAGAAAGAAGGTAAGGACCCACCTCGCTTTTCTTTCCTTCATTTTTAAACTGGAGCTAAAAGTGCACAAATGTTTATTCTTGGGAATAATACATGGAGATAACCGAGAAGCATTGCCTTAAAAGGGAATAAAAGATTAGCCATGAAAGCACTCCTTAAAAATCGGAGGAAACGATCTTTTTTCCCTCCAACTCACGCCTGTTGTGTTGGGGGGGGTGAGGCCTCGAAGCCGATGAGGGGGAGAGAGGGAGAGAGTGCCGGGCCGTGAGGAAGCGCCCCCGGAGGGTTCTGGGCGGCTGTGCGGGGGGGGGGAAATGAGGGAGAGAGAGAGAGGGGTGAGGTGAGAGGGAGAGGGAGAGGAGAGAGAGAGGTGAGAGGGAGAGGGAAAGAGAGGAAAGGTGAGGGAGGGGAGGAGGTGAGGGTGGGGGAGGGAGGTGAGGGAGAGAGAGAAGGTGAGGGTTAGAGAATTGAGGTGAGGTGAGATGAGGAGAGAGAGAGGTGAGGGGTGGGGGGTAGAGGGAGAGGAGGTGAGGGTGAAAAGAGGGGAGAGGGAGAGGGAAGGGAGAGAGGGAGGTGAGAGGCGAGGGAGAGGGAGGAGAGGGGGAGAAAGAGAAATAGGGAAATGTAGAAGTAGAAACAAAGAGATGAATGAGGGAGAGAGAGAGAAAGCGAAATTGAGAGAGGGAGAGTGGGAGGCTAGGGAGGGAAAAGTAGAAAGACAGAGAAAAAAGAAAAAAACAGAAGAGCGAGAGCGAGAAAAAAAAATAGAGAAGGAGATAAAGCCAAATCGAAAAAAAACCTTCACGCAACAAATAATTCCATCGGTACGTAGACTTTTAAACCTTTTTCTTTTTCGATCGTTTAACATCTTTTTCGTTTTTTTTTCTGTATCTTCTCTCCTTTCTTCCTTTTTCTTCTCTTTCGCTCCATTTCGAGGTTAATTAGCAATGCACAGAAAGAATAGGAAGGAGGCAATCGGTTGATACTGATCGTCGAGTCCTCAAACGGAGAGAGAGGAAGGGGGAGGGGGGGGAGGGGAGGAGAGGTTGGAGGAAGAGGGGGAGGAGAAGTCGAAGACAAAGAAGAAGAAGAGGAGAGAAGGAGAGAAGAAGGAGAAGGAGGAGGAGGAGGGGGGAGAGGTTGGAGGAAGAGGAGCAGCAAAAAGAAGAAGATGATAGTGATGATGAATAAATAGTTAGAGGCGAAGAAGAAGAAGAAGAAGGCGAGAAGGAAAATGACGAAGACATAACGAAGAAAGAAGAAGAAAGAGACAAATCAGTTAGCGGAACATATACATGATCTTTCAACAACATCAACGAATTTATAATAGTAATAAAGATAATATAATAATGATAAATGATTACACGAACATCAACAACAACAATAGTGAAACATATGATAATAATATTTTAATAATAATATAATATAATAATATAATAATGATGATATATATATAATGGATATGATATAACATTAATATTAGTAATAATAATAATAATATAATAATAATTATAATAATATAACAATAATAACAATAATATAATAACAACAACAACAACAACAATAAAAATGCTACAAAACCAGCCATAGCCTCAGCACTGCAAGTACGTAAGGGTTTCCAGGGCTACAGTGTGAAAAAGCCCCAGACTCCTGGTGCTCGAAAAAGGTCCAGTGTGTAAAGGTGTATGTGTACATGAATAAGGATGAAAAGGTAGGATGTGTAAGGGCGTGAGGTTAAATACCTGCATAAGGGGTGAATGCATGTGTAAGTATTAAGGCGTGAATGTATGTGTGAGTTTAAGGGTGTAAATGTATGTTTTATGTGCAACATACTTACATGCATAAAGTATTTACATATGCGATATATATATATATTATTATATATATATATATATAATATATATATATATATAATATATATATATTATTTATATATTATAGACACACACACACACACACACACAACACACACACACACCACACACACACACACACACACACACACACACACACACACATCACACACACACACACAACACACACAGTTTATGTACTTACATGAATGTGCGTATACGTGTAAGAGTATAAGGTATATTCATTGCACAAAAAGGAGTAAGCACAACGACATAAAAGTACATAAATCCATAGGGTTGACGTACATTTGCGATGGTGCACATAGGCCTAAAACATAGGCACAACATGGAAGGTTCGAGAGTCGATCGAAGAAAGAACATCATTATAAATTCCTCTAACTATCGATAAATAGATACATTTTCTTTTTTTTTCGTCGACTAAATCTGATAGATTTTCGATAGATTTAAAACACCAGATCAATCAATGGAGATGAATTGTAATACTCGGGCAAGGGAGGAACATATGACGAAGAGGAAGAAGATAGAGTTACGAGAAGGAGAGAAAGACTGATAAATGACCCGAGAAAAGGTTGAAGGTGAAGTCTTTGCAGGAGGGGAAGGAGGAGGAGAGGGAGGGGAGGAGGGGAGGAGGAGGAGAGGGGAGGAGGAGAGGGGGAAGGAGGAGGAGGAGGAGGAGGAGGGGAAGGAGGAGGTGAGGGGAAGGAGGAGGGGAGGAAGGGTAGGAGGAGGGGAGGGAAGGGGAGGGGAGGGGAGGGGAAGGAGGAGAGGGGAGGGGAAGGAGGAGCAAGGGGAGGAGGGGGAGGAGGGGGAAGGAGGAGGGGAAGGGGGAGGGGAAGGAGGAGGGGAGGGGAGCGGAGGGAGGGGAAACACTCAGGAAATGAGAGAGTTTGATGAAAGTATGAGGAGACAATGAAGGAGAAAAGGGTTTAGGGAGAGGCGTAACTTCACAAAGGAGGAGCAGCCAAGTGTTTACCAAGATGATGATTATCAAAGAAAACTTCTTATTTTTGAGATGTATATTTTTTTCCCATTAATCTTTCGAAAATTATATATACCGGTAGTCAATCCGCCTAAGGAAGAGAGAGAGAGAGAGAGAGAGAGGAGAGGAGAGGAGAGGAGAGGAGAGGAGAGGAGAGGAGAGGAGAGGAGAGGAGAGGAGAGGAGAGGAGAGAGAGAGGAGAGAGAGAGAGAGAGGAGAGAAGAGAGAGAGAGAGAGGAGAGGGAGAGAGGAGGAAAGAGAGTAATGAGTGAGTGAAAAATAATAAAGAGAGAGAGAGAGAACGAAAAAATAGA